CCTACGAGTGTAAAAATAAAGAGCTGTGTGTCTCCTGTCTGGGAAGCAGGATGAGTGGGTTGGGAGTAGTTTACAGGGTTAAGCCAAATCAAAAACATTTAGAGGCCTCTGCATATACTCAAATTATGAGATTATGGAAAAATGTGAAACCATAATACGTTTTAGCAAGAATAAGCACCTTACTGTATAAACTCCTGGTTGCTAGAGAGGCATCCATTTGCTGCTAATCAGGTGAATGACACCAGCTTTCATGCAAGTCTGGAGTAGTAAATACATTGGGGGGGTGGGGGGGTTGTTCTCCTTCCTGCAAGGTGTGGTGGCTCCTGAGTAAATGAGAATTGAGGCTGTTCAGCACGTGTCAGGATGTGCCATTCCTGGCTGAATTGGACCCGGTGTCCTTTTAACGGTAGGGTGGTAAGAGATGTTGGTAGCATTAAGCGTTAGCCTACTCTTTTAACGGTGATGATCTGATACTTGCAAAACTGCTGCACCAGCTGCTCCTGACCATTGATTGTGTGCCGCTCACATTAGGCCTGATCCTGCAATAGTGACACATGCGAGTAATCTATAGTTATGGTGGCAGCCCTGTTGACTTCAGTGGGACTTCTCACATATGAAAGTACTACTCATAGGAGTAAGGTACTGGAGGAATAAGGGCTAAATTATGGCTTTGCGAGCTGGAGTCATGTTTCTGGAAATAGGACACAGACGCACCATGTGAGTGAAGGTATTATACCTATGAAAGGCAGAGTGAGGGATGCTTAGGTGGAGCTGTGCATCTGTGGCATCTTAAGGATGCAGCATGAGCTCCCTTGGAGCCTGATCCAAATCCCATTGAGCTCTGAGGATAGACTCCCGTCAGGCCCTATCTGTGCAGCCTTTAAACACTATTAGTTGTGTATCGGGGCTGGCCCCCAGCAATGACCCTTAACCCACTAGATCCACTCCTGTTTCAGAGTGTTGAGTCATGCTGGCTGCTTGCCTTCCTCCCTTGCATTCATGGCATGTGAGCGAGCCCCATTGCTACTCCCTGTAGTAGTGCACTAGGGGAGGGAGTAAGGGATCCTGAGTTTGCACACATGCCCTGGCCTGGTGTTTGCCTGGCTGTAGCCAGATTCTGACCCCAAATACATGAACCTGAAACATACACAAAGGAGATTTTAAAAAACAAACCCCCAAACCAGAACCCCCCCAGAGGCCCATGTCTAATACAGACCTTAACTTTTTATTCCAAAGTACAATGCACACACATTGGAAAAATAGTATCAAAATATATATACAAAAATAACAACTGTTTGCACTGGACTGATTTCATAAACATACAACGGGTGGGCAGTTCAGAGAGAGTTTTGTTATAGGTTACAAACGAAGAGCTGGGACACAGATGAAATATCCAAGAGGGTGTTCAGTTACCATGACTACTAAAGAACAATGGATAAAATCCATTGTTGCCCTGCAGATGGGGCCCAATTCCCCACTGCCCTATCATTTACACCTGTGCAAAATGGGTGAGCCACTCTCTATGGTGCATATTCTTATACTTTATCCCCTTTAGGGGCCAGGGTGTCTGGGGCTGGCCAGCCCTGTTCAGTTATCAGACCCAGTTGGGAAGGGGGAAGGTGATCCCTATGAAAAGGCTGAGAAAACTGCTGATGTGAGCTGTTGTGGGCCCTGAAGCAGGGGGACTGAAGGGAAGGGTGAGTCCTCCTTTCCCCACAGAGAGGCAAGGGGAAAGTCTATGGGAGTTGTAGCACAGGATGGGCAGAGGAACTGCTTTTGGTTTTGATATTTTACCTGCAGGGGAGAGACTTGAGTGTGGCAGTGAGTCCTTCCTGAGGAGGTCGGGAAATCGAAACTAAGTGAAGGGAAACTGAGGCAGCAGAGCGCTTGAAGTCAGACCAGGTAGGTGACACTACTACATTTACACTGGTGTGAATCAGAAGTAAGTTCATGGAGATCAGTGGAGTTAGACCAATATAAATGAGATAAGAATCAGACCGTATCATTCTGATTAGGCAACGTTTTACACCCCCTTTGCACTGATTTAAATGACCACACAAGGTGCAGGGCAACAGAGAATGAGGAGCTTTGCACCAGTGTAAAATAGGCATGTAAAGCTACCAAATCAGCATGGTAAGTGTTTTGCACCCATTTTGCACTGGTGTCAATGATGGCACAAGGTGCAAGTCATGCCCAATTGGGCCCAAACGTGCCTGTGGATTTCTGCATTCGGTGCTTGTTCCCGCAGCTATTTCTCCTTTGAGTAATCCTATCCCATTGACATTAGTGGGGCTCCTCAAGTGAGTCAGGGCCCCAGGATAGGACCCTAAGGAATCTTTTGTTCAAAGTACTGTATGATCACTTCTTTTGGAAAGTGGATAAGCAGCGTGCTTGAGTTCGAAACATATTGTAACAGCCCAGAGATGACCTTCTACTCTTAATGCTGACTGAGAGAAAGGACTGAATCCTTTCAGAATGAATAGGTTCTAAATAAAGAATGAGCTGGAAGAAAAATGTTATCTGGAGATACTAGAAGTTACATTCCGACTAGTTAGAAAACAGGCAGGTATCCTTTCATGTAGTTCAAATAATTTACACGGTGGCAGTGACCATAAATTTGCCGCATTGGTGAATTGTTCACCTTAATGGGTTTGATCCTGTAAACTATTCCTCCCATAAGTAATCCTGGCTTACAATAGGAGTCTCCTGGCTTGAGTAAGGATACTTGTGAGTGGGCGGTTTGCAGATCTATTGGGTTGAGGGGAGGAGGGAGACAAAAGTTCAATTTTCAAAGATATTTTCATGAAAAATAAGATTTCTAAAAATTCCCCAGACCTGAAGATGAGCTCTGTGTAATCTTGAAAGCGTGTCTCTTTCCCCAATAGAAGCTGGTCTAATAAAATATATTACTTCATTTCCCCGCACCCTTTGTCTCTGAAAAGAAATGATTACAATTCCCGTCCGGTAGCAATCACTCTAACAATGTGCAGCCCCAACTGCCTTGAGGAGAAGGGAGGGAAATTAGGCCTTTGACTTTTTGTGGTTTGGGGGGTTTTAATTCTCTTTAGGAGGTGCTCAGATATTGCAATGAGGGGCATCATTATAAAGAACTGGATAGATTAAAAAAACCCACATATGCTCAGAGGGTGTAAATTGCCAATCAATAGAACTATGGTGATTTGTACTAGCTGAGAATTTGGTCCACTGAAATTATAAATGATCTAACATAATTCCCCCCCTCCCAATTTTTATTTCATTTATATTTTAAAACATTTCTTTCCTCCACAATAGATGTTGCCTCAAACTTTATGTATGGGCAGGCATTTCCTTTGCTCCTAAAAGCCATCACTGCTACTTTGAACAGACTGAGGTCAAAATATTGCTATTCACTTAACCACCAGGCATAAAAGCTTTATCCCATGTTTCCCTTGTATACTGCAAAGTGCGGAGTTTTCTCACTTCCCACTATAGAAGAGAAGATGCTCCGCACCATGCAGCATCAGGCTAGTACAGTATGTATCAAATGGAAGCAGGAATCACCTCTGTTAGTCTGTTCCAATGGTGAGTGTGATTAACAACGATAAGATCATTTAACTCTGTGATCATAAGAACATTTTACAGCAATACCGAGCCAGTGAGCCTTTCTTAAAGCACTAGGCTGCTTTGTCTCATCTAATTTTACAAACAATTGCTTCTCTTTTAAACTGTTAGGAAGGCTGAAAACTTAGGCTATTTAATAGAATTATTCTATGTGTTAATGTTCAAACAGCATCAGTGTGATGATATGCAAAACAGATCTGTCATTGTGATACTGACTTTCTTGTTATCTTCTGGTTTGGTACGTGCTGCTAAGTTAGTGGTGGTATACATTGGTATGTAGGCTGTAGAACATGAGCAGGTGTAAATTGGCACGGTTCCTTCAGAATCAGAGAATCGATTTATACCCGCCGAGGATCCTGCTCAAAATATTTATTGCATATGGTAACAACTCTGTTGTTGCCTAGTATTTCATGTTTGTTACTATGCAGTGCATCATGGCTACACATCACTTCATGACACAGCAGAGATAGAACTGCACACTTTCTACTTCAAACCAAAGGTCTTTACCACTTGAGCTAAAGGAGACTCTACTTTCACGAGCAGTACAGGTGCTATGACACATAGTTATGCAGTTCTAATTCTAGCCAGTAAAGAGCAGTGGTGCACATACTTAAATGGGGTTTATGTTAGCTGACATAGTTCTAATATATCTGAGTCTTCACCCTAGGACCACATGGCTCTTTTAGTTTCCATTTAATGAAAAAAAAAAAAAAATGCAGACTCCATTTTTTTCCATTCAGTGCCCCACCTATGTTCTGTTTGAGAAGACCAGGTATTTAAATATTAAATCTACTATGCAGTGTCACAGAGTTAGTGGCCTAGATGAACACACTGAGACAATTGCTGTGCAAAACCATCATCATTACTTAGTTTTTACACACTGATTGTGCATAGGGCTAAAGTTTTTCCAAAGCACCTAAGTCCCACTTTGAAAAAAGACTTAAGCATGTGGGTGCCTAAGTCACTTTGACTTTCAGTGAGAGAAAAGGGCAGACACTATAGTGGATAGAGCACTGGACTGTAACTCGGGGGGGCTGGGTTCTATTCCTGGCTCTGCCCCTGGGTGGCCTTGGACAAGTCACTTAATTGCTCTGTACCTCAGTTTCCCCATTGGCAGAATGGAGATTGTAATTCTTTCTAAAGCACTGTAAGATCTACCTATGGAAAGTGCTATACAAGAGCATGGCATTTATTATTAGGTGCTTTGGAAAATGTTATCCTAGACTTGTAGCAGTGTCGAGAACCTTGCAAGGCCCCTGGAAGGGAAAAGGACATGCAGGGTGCTCGGCATCACTGAAAATCTGATCAGAAGTGCTTCCCCCCGCCCCATTATTAGAAAAAGCAAAACAGTAAAAATAAAAAGAGCTTCTCTTTGGAAAAGGTGAAGTCTTTAGCTGTAGTTACCACAAAGAGGGACTCCAGCCATTCAAGTAGTACAGGTATGGATAGTACTGGTAGCTGTTATACACAGAAATCAGAGAGGCCTTGGAGACATCATCCTCTTTAAGGACTGGGAAAACTGAGTTCTTATCGAGTCCACGGAGTTCTGAGGCTAGTTGCTTCCTTTTGGTTTTGTACCTTCTGTTCTGGAACCAGATTTTCACCTGGGTTTCAGTGAGCTTCAGGTTCTTTGCCAGATGGGCTCGCTCCGGGGCGGACAGATACTTCTGATGACTGAACTTCCTCTCTAACTCGATGACCTGAGTGTGGGAGAAGGCTGCCCGTGAGCGCTTTTGCTGCTTTGGGGTCCTTTGGTTGCTCGGTGAGGATTTCAGAGGGTTTTCACAGTCTGACAGGTTGGTCTCCGTATATGCCTCTGTGGGAGGGAAGAGGGGAGTTAGAACAGCTTGTTCTCAGGCGTTTGCCTTGCCGAGAGCACACAATTCCATTGTCATCCTGGAGACATTTTTACATGTTCACGTGAGCTTAAAAATTCAAAAAGCTTTTGTATATAATTCTCCCCTGCCCCTGAATTTTGATACAGTGTTCACTCTGGGCCAGATTTTTGAAGGTATTTAGGCACTTCACTCCCATTGATGTAAGTGGGAGTTAGGCACCTAAATACTCTTAAAAATATGTTCCTCTGTTGTGAAAATGCCTTTTTCTTCTGTACTCACGAGTGTCACCATTATGGGGTCCTGACTGGGGCTCCTAGGCATTATTGTAATACAAATAAAAAAGTGTTGCTAACTCTTGGGATTTTATTGTGAGTCTTGCAATAGTTGGTGTTTTTCTTAAAGCCCTAGATTCTGGAGTCCTGTGATTTATGTGAGAATCTCAGCTTTCACTTTAAGAAAGTCAGTTTCTACCCTCATGTTGCAGAGAAAAGTTTGGAAATGTGAAGTCAGTGTGCCCCAAAGGCTCAGATGGCAACTATATAGCAAATTAAAAAACGAGACCAGACCCCACCATCCTCCTAATGTAGGGTTTGTTTTGTTTTGTTGTTTTTTAAGGCACATCTCCTGAGTTTCGAATGCTTGGGGATGGCAGTCCTAGTAATTTGTAGTCATCGGCCAACCTTTTCAAAGATGGATGCCCAGGTGTATGTCCGGGCACCCATAAAAGTGGGTCTGATTTTCAGAGGTGCTGAGCACCTGCTACTGTCATTGAAATCAGGCCATTATATATATATCTATAGATATATATATAGCCTTAAAAAAAAAAAAAAAAAAACCTTATTCAGGTGGATCAGTATAAAATTAGGGGCCCAGTTCTCTTCCCACACACATTCCACTTACTTTCATAGAGGTACTGCTACTTTCCACTGCTTTAATTGGCAGCAGGATCAGTCCCTTAGCGCCTAAGGCACCCAAGTTTGAAAATTTGGGGTCTCAACTCAGTCCTACCCCATCCCCGTGAATGGCAAAGCTTCCAGTTCATGTCAATGGGAACAGGATCTGGATCCCTACACAAGTTACCATTCAGGTGGGAGTTTTACTGCTAGAAGGCTGAACTTTTGATATATCCAGGGTAAAGAGATCAGAAGTGTCTCCTTGATGCTGCTCTTTTTGCTGTGGCATTGCTGAGCAAGTTTAGAGGGATAAAGAGGATACTTGTCACGTGAAAGATGCACTAGTACATGCTGGTTTTAATGTGACAGGAGAGCAGAGCGAAGGAATTAGGGCATTGTTGATGGCCATCACAGCTCAGAGGTAGCAACCAGACATGTCACCTTAATCTTATTTCCAGTAGAATCATTCTGTCACTTCAGCCCTGATCCAGACAGGTGCTGAGCGCCCACAGCTCTGATCGAAGACAGTGGGAGCTGGGAGTGCTCTGCACTTTTCAGGATCAAGCTCTCCATAACTAAAACCCCCAGTCTGAAAGATTTCTTAAAGAGACAACGTCAGGTTAAAAATAAGAACAGCAATGTCCTGCTTTTGTGGTGCTAAATGACCCCATACAATTACTAAAACCGAAAGAACCTTAAAATCAAATGAACTTGTCACTATTTATGCAGTTTGTTACTTTTTTTTTTTTTAATTATTATTTCATTCAGCATGGACAATGGAAATAGGCCAGTTTCCCATGTTGAAATGTTTGGGTTGGAAACAATAGGCCATTCCTCATCTCGTGCAAATCGGTTTAGCTCTGCTGAAGTCAGTGGAGTTGTGCAGATTTACACCAGCTGAGGATCTGGCTCAATGTAAGGGATTTTTTTTTAAGTAAATTTCCAAGGGAATCCCACCCCCACTCCTTTTTTTTTAAGTTCATTGACACATTTCTCTTGATCTTTGGTTTTGTGAAAACTTCTTTGAACTTCAGGGTCAATTTCACCTGGAAAGATCCCTTTTAACAAGAAAGTGATTGATTAAAGTGTCTTATTATTATTATTAATATTATAGTAGTTCCTGAATATCCCAATCAGGATTGGGGCCGGATTGTGGTAGGTGCTGTACAGACATAAAATAGATCAGTCCTGTCCCCCAAAGAGCTTACATGTGTTTGACCCCCCTTCTTGTATATAAAAAACATGATGGAGAGAGACTTCAGCATTCCCTGGAGCGTGCAGTGATTTCCACTGCTTCCCCAACACCAACAATTTTCAAAAATTTGTAGCAGCTTCTCTTTCTTACCCCCTCCCACAATCATGCAGGTGCATGCTAGAGAAACTTGTTGATATTTAAATGTCACCATTCTTTAAAGGAAGCGCCAAGTGATTTGCAACCTTTTGTGTTTTGCTGCCCCGACCTGTAAATACACAGGTCCCAGAAACGCACCACCTTAAAAATGACTCAGCAGCAGGTTCATGAACAATAAGATGCCCTTTAAAGTAAATCCACACAATATTTTTTTATTCTGTGGAGCCCCAATCATGGGCTAGGACCCCCTTGTGGTAGGTGCTGGACAGACAGAACCAAAAGCCAGTCCCTGTCACAAAGAGCTTCTACTCAACAAATGGGATTTTAAGACCTAGTATTAGATTAAAGTAATCAGTGATGGTGAATGCAGCAAATTTACCAGGCCAGAATAAAAATAAAGGGAGCTTCCAGGAGCTCTTTAAACACGCAGCTGTGGCACTAAGGGGGGGGGGGAGATCTTGTTTCTGGCTGCTTGATTAGAGGGGGGTCTTTCTTTCGGGGTTCTCCCATGGACTCATGCGGGGTCATATGTCTTTCAAAAAAATGCTCAGGGGCAAATTTGCAAAAAAACCAAAACCTCACACTTGTTGAGGTGCCTAAATAGGACCTGAGCTCCTCTGGGCGGGGGGAATAAATCTGTGCAGACAGTGGCTATTTCTGTTGCTTTTCCCTTGCAGAGATCCCACTTATGCGCCACTTCCGCCTGATCTGGAGGTGCCCCCCCGCCACCTTAGGAACAGAGCGCTTGGGTTCAGTTGAGCGCTCAAAGGCAGAGGAGCTGCTCCTGGTTTAGGCTGCAGGGTCTCTGCTGACTAGGAGGGGGAGCCGTGATTTACAGCCGTGCAAGCGTGGGGAAAGTCTTGCAGAGCCAGGCGCCCGTGGGGACAGGGGAAGCGCCGGCGGCTGAGCAGCTGCTTACCTGCGTCTGGCTCTCCTGGTTGCTCCGGGGGTGGCGGGGGGACCCCTTCAGGGAGGGGTTTCCCAGTTGGCTGCTGGGGAGCGGAGCTTGCACTGTCCAGCGCAGGCTCCGGGCTAGAGGCACCGCAGCATCCCCGGCTCTTCCTCCCGTTCCCCGCAGCTCCGCGGTCCGCACCGTCCCGCAGAATGTCTTGGATGAGGAAGGACGTGAGCGGCTTGGAGGAGTGGGGCAGCGAGCCCTGGGGAAGGCTCCTCCCCGCTGGCTGCTGCTGTTGCGGGGCCCAGGGGTGGCTCTTGCCTCTGGGGGGCTCTGTGCTGCCCTGTCCCTCCTGCCTTCCTGGAAGGGGTGCCCGGGAGCTCATCTCCCGCCCCGCAAGTCCACCAGGGAGAAGCCCACAGGCACTTTCACTTTGCAACATTCCCTGCTTTGCATTTATAAGCCAGCCAGCCAAGCCTCCTGGGTCTGATTGGAGCCCGGGACAGCAGTGAACGCCCTTGGAGAGCTTCCTGGGCTCCCACCGCTCCTGAGCAGTGAGATTCCTCCTCGGTGTGTTCTCAGTGCCAAGGGAAACTGCCAGACCCTGCTGCTCCTGGCATGCTGTGTCCATGGGGACTTGCAAAGTCTCTCTCTCTCTCTATCGAAATCATAAGGCGCCTTTATATTGCTGCCCATCACCTTGGTATCGGAGAGCCTTCCAGTCAATAGCAAATATCAGGGGGTAGCCGTGTTAGTCTGTATCCACAAAAACAACCAGAAGTCCGGTGGCACCATAAAGATGAACAGATTTATTTGGGCATAAGCTTTTGTGGGTTAAAAACCTGCATCTGAAGAAGTGGGGTTTTTTACCCACGAAAGCTTATGCCCAAATAAATCTGTTCGTCTTTAAGGGGCCACTGAACTCCTTGTTGTTTTAATCAATAGCAAAGTCCCTAGTGGACTTTGTGTAATCTCTGGCATCTCTCCCTCTGCTTGGGGGGAGGGTTTTTAGGGCAGGCCTGGGTGTCAGTGTTAGGGGGAGAAGGTGGTGTTGGTTGTATGGTGGAAAGTAATTTGCATTGTGTAGAATACTTATAGTAGTTCTGGTATTTAAAGATATTTAGGCCTTTTATAGGTGTTTAATAATGATATTTTTCTGTGGGCTGTGTTAACATGATAGAATCTTTTGGGTCAGAAATAAAACCGAGGTCCTGATTCACTGTGGTTATTAAACAGCTCCTGGCATTTTTTTTTTTTTTTTTGTAGGAGAGGGTCTGAGCTCTGAGGTGCTCAGGTCATGCAGTTGGTGGCAGAGCTGGGGTAGGATCCATGAGCATTTGCACATTGTCACATACCTGTGGTGCGGGGACGGTGGGGACTCTTACATCAAGTCATAGCCCCTTAACTCTGACTGACAGTAACCATTTTTCATGCTTGCAGGAATACCTGGAGATAGACATGTAAGGCAGCCAGTAGTGGTCAGAACAGGGAAAAGAGCTGTATGTCTTTCCTTTCTCAGTGGGAAGCCGCCCTTGCTATTCTGCTGGGATAGTGTATCCCTTTGTGTACTTGCAAACCCTCATTCGATCCTCTGTTGTTTAAGACGCAAATATGCGACCCCTTCTCTCGCTCATCAGTTTGGTGTTTGCTCACAATTAGTTTTTGGCCATTACATGATTTGACCCCAAATACAGGGAGGGGTTGAGTATTGTGGGGAGCAAATCTTTAGTTAAATTCACAGGATCAAATTAATCCCCACTGTAATGTCCTTAATTTCACTGGAGTTAGCCCAGTGATCTGGCCCATTCAGTCCTGGTAAGTAGCAAACGTTACAGGAATATTTATGTAAAA